GCACACTGGGCCCCCTGTCGGGTTAGTGGCTTCTGCACCCAAGTGTCTCTGGGAAGGTGTGATCCGGCTCGGCCTGCTGGTCTGCGGGCAAGGAGCCCGGCTGTTAGATCCCTAAAGGCAAAGCACAAGAACAAAAAGAGGCAGAGAGAAAATGAAGACGATCAGAGCGTGTTTTCCGTGTTAGGACCCGGTTTCAGTTGTAGACTACAACCCGCCCCGGCCATGGCAGTCCCTTGAGGACTTGCAAAGCTTCGGCTTGGCGGTCAGTCCCCGCCCGGGGGGCAGCTAAGTCCTCCCTGAGAGCGTGCTCGCGTGTCCCGGGAGCTCCCACGTGCTCCTGGGGCCCCAGGAAGTCACGTGGGGAGTCTGTCCCCCCTCCCGGCAGCTTCCTGGAAAAAAAACCAATTCCAAATGGGCCTTCTGCGGCCAGGGTCTCGCCATGCCGGCCTGGAGGTCTCTGCTGGTCGCCTTGGGCCTTGCTGGAGACTCCCCCCCCCCCCCCCCCCACGTTCGAGCCGGACGCGAGACGCTCCGAGGTGAACGAGATGAATTTGGGGGTCTTGGGGGGCAGCGGTGGTCTCTCGACCCCGCCCCTGCCCCCGCCCCTTCAGATGCACCTTTGTTTGACTTTTATCCCATCGGCAGTCGCTACCTTGCCGTCACTTTTCTATAGCTCCGGAGCCAGGTAAGGGCTAAAATTTGATCTCGATGCCCGAGGCAGAGTTCCAGGAGCCCGGAGGCGATATCAGATTGCCCCCGGTTACTCTCCGTTTCAAAAATTCATCCCGTTCTTGGGAGATTGTACCACCAGATATATAAGTTGTGAGTGCCTCAGGGCGATTCCTGGCTGAGATGTGAGTGCCCTGGGGGCCGGGGGCCAGCACCTCCGGGGTCCGCCCCGGGTGCTGCTTATCCCCAGGGCTCGCCCGCTCCTGGGAGCGCCCATGGGCCGGTCCGTAGGGAGCCGCAGGAGCCCACCCGGCCGTGGGGGGCCTCCGACCTCCCGGGTCTGCCTGCTCGGTCTGCCGTGGGGGCCGAGTTGGGTGCCGGCCCGCGGGTCTGCCTGCTCGCTCGTGGAAGCGCCCGAGGGCCGCGTCCAAGGAGCCGCAGAGCCCACAAGGCCGTGGGGGCCGAGTTGGGTGCCGGCCCGCGGTTCGAGACTGCTCGCTCGTGGGAGCGCCCGAAGGCCGCGTCCAAGGAGCCGCAGAGCCCACAAGGCCGTGGGGGGGCCTCCGACCTCCCGGGTCTGCCTGCTCGGTCCTGGCCGTGGGGGCCGAGTTGGGTGCCGGACCGGGGTTCGAGACTGCTCGCTCATGGAAGCGCCCGAAGGCCGCGTCCAAGGAGCCGCAGAGCCCACAGGGCCGTGGGGGCCGAGTTGGGTGCCGGCCCGCGGGTCTGCCTGCTCGCTCGTAGAAACGCCCGAGGGCCGCGTCCAAGGAGCCGCAGAGCCCACAAGGCCGTGGGGGGCCTCCGACCTCCCGGGTCTGCCTGCTCGGTCTGCCGTGGGGGCCGAGTTGGGTGCCGGACCGGGGTTCGAGACTGCTCGCTCGTGGAAGCTCCCGAGGGCCGCGTCCAAGGAGCCGCAGAAGCCACAAGGCCGTGGGGCCGAGTTGGGTGCCGGCCCGCGGTTCTAGACTGCTCGCTCGTGGAAGCGCCCGAGGGCCCCGCCCCGTCCTAGAAGCCGCAGAGCCCACAAGGCCGTGGGGGGGCCTCCGACCTCCCGGGTCTGCCTGCTCGGTCTGCCGTGGGGGCCGAGTTGGGTGCCGGCCCGCGGGTCTGCCTGCTCGCTCGTGGAAACGCCCGAGGGCCGCGTCCAAGGAGCCGCAGAGCCCACAAGGCCGTGGGGGCCGAGTTGGGTGCCGGCCCGCGGTTCGAGACTGCTCGCTCGTGGGAGCGCCCGAAGGCCGCGTCCAAGGAGCCGCAGAGCCCACAAGGCCGTGGGGGGGCCTCCGACCTCCCGGGTCTGCCTGCTCGGTCTGCCGTGGGGGCCGAGTTGGGTGCCGGACCGGGGTTCGAGACTGCTCGCTCGTGGAAGCGCCCGAAGGCCGCGTCCAAGGAGCCGCAGAGCCCACAAGGCCGTGGGGGCCGAGTTGGGTGCCGGCCCGCGGGTCTGCCTGCTCGCTCGTAGAAACGCCCGAGGGCCGCGTCCAAGGAGCCGCAGAGCCCACAAGGCCGTGGGGGGGCCTCCGACCTCCCGGGTCTGCCTGCTCGGTCTGCCGTGGGGGCCGAGTTGGGTGCCGGACCGGGGTTCGAGACTGCTCGCTCGTGGAAGCTCCCGAGGGCCGCGTCCAAGGAGCCGCAGAAGCCCACAAGGCCGGGGGGGCCGAGTTGGGTGCCGGACCGGGGTTCGAGACTGCTCGCTCGTGGAAGCTCCCGAGGGCCGCGTCCAAGGAGCCGCAGAGCCCACAAGGCCGTGGGGGCCGAGTTGGGTGCCGGACCGGGGTTCGAGACTGCTCGCTCGTGGAAGCGCCCGAGGGCCGCGTCCAAGGAGCCGCAGAGCCCACAGGGCCGTGGGGGCCGAGTTGGGTGCCGGCTCGCGGGTCTGCCTGCTCGCTCGTGGAAGCGCCCGAGGGCCGCGTCCAAGGAGCCGCAGAGCCCACAAGGCCGTGGGGGCCGAGTTGGGTGCCGGACCGGGGTTCGAGACTGCTCGCTCGTGGAAGCTCCCGAGGGCCGCGTCCAAGGAGCCGCAGAGCCCACAAGGCCGTGGGGGCTAGTTGGGTGCCGGACCGGGGTTCTAGACTGCTCGCTCGTGGAAGCTCCCGAGGGCCGCGTCCAAGGAGCCGCAGAGCCCACAGGGCCGGGGGGGCCGAGTTGGGTGCCGGCCCGCGGTTCTAGACTGCTCGCTCGTGGAAGCGCCCGAGGGCCCCGCCCCGTCCTAGAAGCCGCAGAGCCCACAAGGCCGTGGGGGGGCCTCCGACCTCCCGGGTCTGCCTGCTCGGTCTGCCGTGGGGGCCGAGTTGGGTGCCGGCCCGCGGGTCTGCCTGCTCGCTCGTGGAAGCGCCCGAGGGCCGCGTCCAAGGAGCCGCAGAGCCCACAGGGCCGTGGGGGCCGAGTTGGGTGCCGGACCGGGGTTCGAGACTGCTCGCTCGTGGAAGCTCCCGAGGGCCGCGTCCAAGGAGCCGCAGAGCCCACAAGGCCGTGGGGGCTAGTTGGGTGCCGGACCGGGGTTCGAGACTGCTCGCTCGTGGAAGCGCCCGAGGGCCGCGTCCAAGGAGCCGCAGAGCCCACAGGGCCGGGGGGGCCGAGTTGGGTGCCGGCCCGCGGTTCTAGACTGCTCGCTCGTGGAAGCGCCCGAGGGCCCCGCCCCGTCCTAGAAGCCGCAGAGCCCACAAGGCCGTGGGGGGGCCTCCGACCTCCCGGGTCTGCCTGCTCGGTCTGCCGTGGGGGCCGAGTTGGGTGCCGGCCCGCGGGTCTGCCTGCTCGCTCGTGGAAGCGCCCGAGGGCCGCGTCCAAGGAGCCGCAGAGCCCACTGGGCCGTGGGGGCCGAGTTGGGTGCCGGCCCGCGGGTCTGCCTGCTCGCTCGTGGAAACGCCCGAGGGCCGCGTCCAAGGAGCTGCAGAGCCCACAAGGCCGTGGGGGCCGAGTTGGGTGCCGGCCCGCGGTTCGAGACTGCTCGCTCGTGGGAGCGCCCGAGGGCCTCGTCCAAGGAGCCGCAGAGCCCACAAGGCCGTGGGGGGGCCTCCGACCTCCCGGGTCTGCCTGCTCGGTCTGCCGTGGGGGCCGAGTTGGTTGCCGGCCCGCTGGTCTGCCTGCTCGCTCGTGGAAGTGCCCGAGGGCCGCGTCCAAGGAGCCGCAGAGCCCACAAGGCCGTGGGGGCCGAGTTGGGTGCCGGACCGGGGTTCGAGACTGCTCGCTCGTGGAAGCGCCCGAAGGCCGCGTCCAAGGAGCCGCAGAGCCCACAGGGCCGTGGGGGCCGAGTTGGGTGCCGGCTCGCGGGTCTGCCTGCTCGCTCGGGGAGGCGCCCGGGGGCCGCGTCCAAGGAGGCGCAGAGCCCACAAGGCCGTGGGGGCCGAGTTGGGTGCCGGACCGGGGTTCGAGACTGCTCGCTCGTGGAAGCTCCCGAGGGCCGCGTCCAAGGAGCCGCAGAGCCCACAAGGCCGTGGGGGCCGAGTTGGGTGCCGGACCGGGGTTCGAGACGGCTCGCTCGTGGAAGCGCCCGAAGGCCGCGTCCAAGGAGCCGCAGAGCCCACAGGGCCGTGGGGGCCGAGTTGGGTGCCGGCTCGCGGGTCTGCCTGCTCGCTCGTGGAAGCGCCCGAGGGCCGCGTCCAAGGAGCCGCAGAGCCCACAAGGCCGTGGGGGCCGCGTTGGCGCCCACCCGAGGGTCTGTAGCGATATGCCCAGTTGCTCTTATGGAGCCTTTCATGATTAAGGCGGCTTCATTGGTTCATTCTGAGATTTGGTATCCCCAGGGCTGTGGGGTTGTTTTGGCAAATGGCTGTCATAGCAGCGCCCTCAGGAGCCCCCTTGGGGGGCTCCTTGGAGAACCGGAGGGGAAGGGTGCCGTGCTGCTACGAAATGGGGCCGGCGTGGACCCTGCAGGGAACGAGTGGAGGGCATTGGCAGGCTTGTCCACGGACACTGGGTGCCGGTCATCTGGTGAGGCTTTTCTGGGGCTTGTTACCGAGGTGGGGGCCGGCCCACGGTATACTCGGAACGCGTGTAGGACGCTGCGGTCCTCCGGAGGCGCGCTCCTTCATGGAATTTCCCTGGGATCCGGGGATGGCGCGGAGGTGTAAGGGGCTAGGGCCCCAGTGCCTGAGAGAGCCCCAGGGGTCGCTGCTGGGTCTCGGTGCTTACGTGTAGTGGGAAGCTTGTGCTTTTACAGGGAGATGGGCCTTTGCTTTAAGCAATTCCCGACCCAAGCGTGTGTGGCTGGCCCAGCCCAGGAGGGCAAACCAGGTCTTGTGGACACAGGGATTCCGTGTGTGGTTCAGCCCTGCCACCGGCTGCAGAGCGCGGGATCGGCCTTTTCTGGCCTGAAGGGGAGAAGGGCGAGCTCCCTAGAGTTGATCGCAAACGAATTGGTTGGCTCTCTGGGCGGCGCAGGGCTCGGGCTTGTACTGGCCCACTGGCCTGCCTCTGCCCTTGCCTCTGAGGCGGCCCACGCGGGGCCTGGCATTCATTCGTTCTCCCGGGGGCCCTTGTGTGCAACCTGGTGCGGCTTAGCAAGCCCCACCTGGCGGGCTCCGCTCCGCTCCGCAGGTGTCTTCAACCTCTTCCTCGGGCTGCCGCCCCACTCTCGCGAGAGAAAAGCGTTGTGAGGCTCACGCTCCGATTTCCGCTTGCCGCGTCCCGGAAGGCTATTCGCGCAGAGGGCGGGCGCCTTTGCTGTGCGGTTGACACTCGTTCTCCGTGTTGCAGGCCGTGCAAGACACGCTCGGAGGCTTGACAGGTTTGGGCTCCTCCTTTGCCGCCGGCTTGTGCGCCCTTGGGGCCCCGTGGAGCAAAAGGCGTGGGCTGCGGCTCGCACGCGGGTGTTAGGCCAGGTGCTTGTGGTCCCTTTGTTTCCTCCCTGGGGGAGGTGGAGGTAAGTGTGGCGGCGCAGATGAAGGGGGGCAGCAGCCACAGACGCCCGTGCTCCGAGGGGAACTGGACCCCGGCTGTTCCACGCCCGGGGGGGGGAGGCCCACCCGGTTAGAGGTGTGTGGAAAGGCAATTTGAAGTTGTATGGGAAAGGCGACCTGGGGAGAGAGGCCGTGGAGAGTGGTGTTTTCTGGGCTTTCCTGGGGCTCATTTGTTGGGCCTAGGAGACAAGTCCCCGGTGAGGCTCATAGAAGGGCACCGCGGTAGTAGCGGTTTGTCAAAGCCCACAAGCAGACACGGGCAGACCCCTGCGGGTGCTGGTGGTCGAGGGTCCCTGGCGGTTGGGTGCCAGCTTCCTCAAGCCTACGGGGGCCGGCACAAGCGGTGAAGGGAACCCAAGGAGTTTAGGGGTTTGTGCCACCAGGTTAGGTTAGTAGGAGAACCCTGCGCTCGGTGGCTGGCGGCCAGCTTGGCGTTCTGTGGTTAGGGCCACGCCTCGGTCAAACGTTGTGCCTCGTTGATCCCACTTTGCTCGCCCCCTCCTCGGGGCTGCTTGCGGGCTCCGGTGCCCGAAGGCGGGTGAGTGCGGTGCTCACCCGTGTGAAGCTTTGCGGCTTCGTTGGCTTGGTCTTAGGCTTTTTCCCCCCTGCGAAGCTGTCCCACATTTCCATCTTCCCCGTTTCTCTTCCCCCGAAGCAGCAGCGGGTGAGGGGAGAACGTGGGAGGAGCGTGGGGGGTGGCTAAAGGGGGAGTGGTGGGTAGGGTGGGTGGCTTTCTGGGGTCGACCAGATAGCCCATCCCGAGCTGGGGTTGACCAGATGTCCCAACGAAATCGGGTCGACCAGATGGCCCAGCGAAAATCGGGTCGACCAGATGGCCCAGCGAAATCCGGCTGCGAGAACGGGGGAAGCGTCCGGGGGTGGTGGGCGACCCCTGCAGGGCTCTCCCGAGCCCCGTTCTGGAGGAAAAAGGGCCGGCTCCGGCCTTAGATATCCCTCCGCCGCACCAGGTCTTCCAGCAGGCCCCAGGGCGGCCAACACGGCCGCTCCCAAGTGACATCTAACCGCGGAGGGATTTTTTTGTTTTGTTCCTTTTTTCCCAGAGATGACAGTCAGTCCAAGCAAAAGCGGCCCCCCAACTGCACGCACACACGCCCGGGGCTCCCCGGGGACGTCCGTCCGTGCCGTGGGCAGGTCGCAGTTGGTCACAAACGGCATTTCTCACCTCCAGGCCCGTTTCTGCATGTACGCACGCCCCAGTGGGAAGAGCAGAAACGGGCCTGGAGGTGAGAAATGCCGTTTGTGACCAACTGCGACCTGCCCACGGCACGGACGGACGTCCCCGGGGAGCCCCGGGCGTGTGTGCGTGCAGTTGGGGGGCCGCTTTTGCCTGGACTGACTGGCATTCCCGGAAAAAGAAAACCCCCTCCGCGGCTGTCAGTCACTTCTGGGGCCTGCTGGAAGACCTGGTGCGGCGGAGGAGGGATGTCTAACCTTGGAGCCGGCCTTTCCCCCCCCCCCCAAAAACGGGCCTCGGGAGAGCTCTGGGTCACCCACTACCCCCGGACGCTTCCCCCGTTCTGGCGGCCACATTTTGTTGGGCCATCTGGTCGACTCGATTTTGTTGGGCCATCTGGTCAACCCCAGCAAGCTAGCTGCACTTTTTATAACTTTTTTCTTTCTTTTTTCCTTTACTAGGGGCCAAATACACGACCTCGTGTATCTTGAAAGGGATTGGGGGCTGCAAGGTCACCCCAGGCCAGTCTGCTGGCAGCCCCACTCCCACCGGCACAGAGCAGAGCGATTGGGGCCACCAGCAAGCGGTGCGAGTGGCAGCTACTGCCCCAGTTGCCCCGCAGGAGCGAGCAGGAGGAGGTGGAGAAACCCTCAGGAGCACCGGGGCCAGCGGCCGGCACTGGCAGCGGGGGCGAATGACAGAGACCAGCACCCCAAGCTGGGCGGGTGCCCCTGAGTACCAAGGTAGGTTTTGGGTGTTTTTTAGTGTGTGTTGCAAGTACTAGGCTTCTCAAATTCACAGCCAAGGGGCCACAGGCCTTGGACACCCCCTGCCTCCAAGGGGGTCAGAGATCCCCTAATGCTCTCCTTGTGCCATTTCCTATGGGAGGGCGGGGGGGGGGGGGGTAAATCCTCTTGGAGGAATGTCTTTTAGTTCTTTTTGCTTTTCCCTACTTCTCTAATGCCTGCCTTCCCCAAGTCTGTAAGCCTTGGGGACCCCCCTTCCCCCAGCATGATTTCTTTTTAACCTATATGCTTCAAGCAATTAGTCCGAGAAAAGGGCTAGTGCCAACTGGTGGGTTACCGGCACCTGGGCAGCCTCGTTCCGGGTTCCAGGCGAGCCGGGTGGAGCCTCTGCGCTGGAAGGAAGAGGCAGGTCAGCCTGCATTTCCTTTGGTCGGGACGCACTGGCTCACAGCTCGTCCTCCATCCTCGGTACTTCCTTTCCCTCCCCTAGGGCCCCCGACAAACCTTTCAAAAGCCATCTCAGCCCTGGGCGAAACCCAACAGCCTGTCCCTGCTCTCTCCTTCAGTCCCCTAAAGAGACGCCCCAGCAGGCCGGGCCATGTGAGACCCACAGCTTGACAGGGAATGTGTGCTCCGTCAGGACACATGACAGCCGCCACGTGCACACGGTGGCTGAAATGCTGCCGGGAGAGCCACTCACAAGCAAAAATCCAAGCCCAAGACATTTCTTGAAACCCCTTCCTGGCTCCCCCATAACAAATCGCACAGGAGAGCTTGCCCTCAGCTGAAAAGACGCTGCCAAAAACCCCTGACTCCGGGACTCGCCCCCATGCACAGTGTTTCCCCGTTAAACCTCAGACCCTGTGGGTGGCTGAGGAACCCTACCTGTCGTAGTTTCTCCTTGTGCCTTTCTACTTGGGCATCTAATTCTTCCCGCATCTTGAGGCGCGGGGAGAGAAGAATGGGGAAGGTAAAGCACCCTGTGTGCCTCGGAAACTCTCCAGAGTCCACTCGATTCCAAACACGTGGGACATCCCCCCCCCCCCCCCCTGTTCTGGCCGATTCCGGGGGAGATGGCTGCCCCACGGCGCCAGAAACTCCCAGAGATGCCTATTTCTGCCACCTGCCCCCCCCCCCCGCGCCCCCCCAGTTGCAAATCCAGAGACACCTGGAGAGGCCTGAGCCCTGAAATGCAAGTGCTCTGACGGCACGCTCGGCTGTCAGTCCACCCGGTGCCCAGGTTGACCAGAATTCCAGAAGACAGCCCGGAAAGATCACGTCTTCTGACACTTTGTCCTTCCTTGTTGCCCACACAGCCAACAAGCCAAGAGACTGACTGGGCGTGCAGGCCCACGGCCCACGGGGAAGGAGAAGGAGAAGGCTTACGGAATTTCAGGACATCTGCTCCCCCCCCCCAACCTCAGGAACCATGGTGACTCCGATGCATGAGCACGTGTGTTTGATGCTGCTGCTATGGAAACGGTAGCATCGGGTCTGATGGGTGAGAAGGCCACCCTTTCAGAGGCAAGGATTGTGAAAACCAATGAGCGCCTGGTGATGAATCAGAATAGAGGGAGTGGGAAGACCTAACCGACCCACACGCGGGTTTCTGCTCACTCACTCACTCACTCACTCCAGGCCTGAGGTCACTCGGGGCTAATCCTCCTCCGGGAAGCACCTCTGCCCCCGGGAAAACCGATCGCGTGTTCGTTTGCCCCGTTCCGTTCTGGAAGCTTAAAAGTGGTTCCCGTCCCCTAACCCCCCATAAGCCCATTCCCATCCAACGCTCCTTACTCTCAACCCCAGCCTCCATTTGCCATCGGTACTGACGATAGGTCCTCCCTTCCTGCAACTGATGGATGGCCTGTGGCTGCCGCTGAGTTTGCATAGTAATTTTTTTTCTTCCCTTAGCACACACTGACCGGTGGCGTGGCTGTGGGTGGTGCTGGCAGGCCCCGCCCTGTGCAGCTCCTCCCAGTGGGCCATTCCTGCCCGAGAATTCTAACCACCCCCGTGGCCCCCCGCAAAGGAATTCCCAGGAAGCTGGCCATTTCCCTTCTCACTCTCTGATGGTTCTCAAATTGAAAACCGCAGAGGCTCTTTCTCTCCGTTCCCTCTTAACCAGCAGCTGCCTCCTCCCCAGTCCCGGAGAGCTCAAATCCGGAGAACCTGAGCTCCAAAGCAGCCTTTCCCATCTAACACGTCCTCAGCTCAGGCCCAAAGACCGCCTTCCTCATCGGCCTCTTCTATTCCCGCGTCCACCCCACCCCTGAGGGAGGCAGCAGGCGCTGAGGGCGCAGTCCGAGGCCACATCCCGTTCTCTATGTCCAGCCTCACAGACTGAGAGGCATCTCGGGTTTCTTTTTCCGCTGAACTAGATGCAGGTCCACAAACCCCTCAAAAAGACCTCGTTAGCCTGACCTCTAAGGTCTTTGATAACAGAGACGAGGAGACCCAGATCCAACAACAAGGCGAGATCAGGCCCGGGCTGAGGCCCAGCAGGAGGCCCTCCAGCTCCTAGCCACCGCTTTCAAACCCCAAAGGAAGTGCCGGTCCTCCAACCGTGCGTAACTCAGGGGCTGAGCCCCCTCTGGGCCCACGCCTCAAATGCAGCACGGAAGGACAATGGCCAAGTCCTGCTCTGACCCGAGATCCCCGCCTGGACCCTGCCCGAGGCGCGGAAGGGAAGGCCATTGGAAATCAGACTGTCACCTGGCTCCTCCGGGTCAGGCCTCACCTCAGCCAGTCCAGCATGGCCGCCCTCTGGATCCGGTTTGGACCTCCCAGACCTCCTGGGACTGGCCGCCGAAGAAGCTGCCCAGGCCCTGACAGGGCCCCACAGACTTCTATCACCAGGACAGAGCCTCGGGGAACGACTGCGGTGGCAGGTAAGCCCATCTCTTTCTTCATGGACACCGGGGCCGCTCATTCTGCCCTCCTAATTTGCTGGGACCCTCGTCCACTCCTCAGTCTCTATTATGGGGGTTGACGGATCAGTCTCACAGCCATTAGCCACCTCCAATTCCCCCATTCACTCTTTTCTCATTCTTCCTCGGTGCCCGGCCAGGTCTACCGTGCATCCCCTCGTAAAACCCAGTTGTCCCAAACCACAGTCACCTACCTCAGTTTCCCTCTCTCAGCCCACAAGGCCGAGCCATTCCTGGGACTGTAAACGCCTCATCTCTTTATCTCCTCTATCTATAAGAAGAATGTGCCCTTTAAAACCGAAGCGGCTAAAGGAGGCCTGGCTAGCCTGGCAACAGGCTGCGGAGCCTGCTCCCCCACCCCCCTTAGAAGTTACTCTGAGCAAGAAAGTGAGGCTTCAGTCCCCGAGCCTGGCAGGACAAGGTTGCTGGACGCTCCTTAAGCTAAACCAGAATAATCAGTGTCTAACCTCTTATCCAACCATCCCTGTGCCTGGCTTTCACTACTCCTTTCCTTCCTTTTCCCTCCCACTTTCACTGCAGTACAATCTCAATCACTCATCTGTCACCTCTTATTGGTAGCGCCATGGTGACTACTCTCTCAGCTTGGAGTGCGGAACTAGAAAAAGGAATCGCATACCCTTTAGCCCACCTCTTCTCCTTACACCTTCCAGCTTGTCTCCGTGATAGGGATTTTCT